CCCCAAAACCCCAAAACCCCAAAACCCCAAAACCCCTGCTTGTGCTCTACTAGTTGATGAAAAATGCTTAAATGATACAATATCGTGAATAATTAATAAAATGGTTCTTACATTTGGATCAATTTGATCAGCTCCTTTGCTTCTTCATGTGTTTAAATACTTTGGCCACATGGATCAAGTATATCTGATTCTGTCTCAGTTAAATAAATCCACAAATAGGATTATCAAAGCTTATGAACCCTGCTTTCTGCTGGAATGATCAAAGAAGCCTCTTATTTGCTACCTATACCGTCGAAGAAACTTAAAGAAGTATTTATCTCAACCTCATATGAGATTTTTTGAAATTAAGATTAAAATTCATCATCGCAAACAAGCTATCAATCTAAAGACTCTTTGTGTGAGTCTGAGGAAAAGAGAAATGAAAGATATCAAGATAAACAGAACTTCTGTTGACCCTCTGAATCCTTACAAAATGTGCAATCCTCTCTTGCAGCTTACTGTTGTAAAAGGAAGAATTCGAAAATTGTCAGAGAAAAAGAAGTCTGGGAAGCTTTGTGATAAAGATCAATTTGAACTCAACAAATTGATGGGTGCAGAAGCTGAGTTACAAGGGAAGAACTATATTAGATACCTAAATATAAATTCTATTGTGTTTGGGATTTCAAATGATATTAATATTGTCTCTTTCCTTAAAAAGACTAAACCTGAGCTTTTTGAATACCCTTATCTAAAAGTGACTACATCTTCAGAAGTTGAGGCTCGAAGCGATTTCTTGGCAGACTTCAAAGTTACTTTTTGCAATTCCATGGATACAGATTTGATTAGCCCATTACTAATGAAAAAGAGAGCTCATAGATCAATTCAATACATTATCAAAAGAGCAGGTGTATTCTCACTCAACCTAAACTTGATCAATGCAAGTTCTCTTATCTCATATTTCATCATCAAAGATGAAATGGATTTCTCAGACTTCACTACAACGATCAGGAACTTCCCAAATATTCTAGAAGACACTGAAGTATTAGACATGTTCTTCTCTAAATAACTCAGATCCAATCTACAAATGGGAGGCTTTCTTCTATGAAATCCTGAGGAATTCTGATCTAGTCTTTGCGAAGAAACTTAAGATCATCAACATGGAATTTATTTGTAGCACAGGGCTGTTAGCCCTCTTGGAGACCCTTTGTGGTACAGGCTTTGAGAAGGTGAAGCAGGTCTATCCTGACTTCCATGGGCTAGAGCTTTACCCTCCAATTGATGAAGATTTAGAGAGGGAAGCCATAACTCTTCCAGTAAGAAAAATTTGTAGAAGTGAGGATAACAGTATGAAGATTTTTAACAAAATTTCGGTGTTTTTGAAGCAAGATGAGATATATCAGTTTGATATATGTTTCCAATCACCTGGCATTTTGAAATGTGATAGGATCTTAGCAAAAGATGAGGAAAATTACTATTTTGGAGAGGTATTTAAGTTTTCTCTTGAGCAAATCACTTCGATTGATAAAATATCAATTGACACCTTTAATGGAAAAATTGCTTATGACGCTTTGCTATCTGAAGACATGACTGTCATCTCAGTGAATAAAATGGACTTGCTAGGTTTGAAAAGGCAGATAAAGTCATTCCAACCATCATTTTAATTTCAGCCAAAATCCTTTCAACGTTGAGCTAATTATATGGGGTTTTGGGGTTTTGGGGTTTTGGGG